CTGTTTGCATAGAAATCTATCCCTTTCCTTCTGCCAAGTTTTCTAAATTTTAATTTGGGTAAGAGAAAAGGCTATTGTTTCTGCTGCTACTGTTAAATCTTTGCTGACCTGCCGTGAAGCCTTATGCAGCAGGCCAAATTCTGTTGCAATTCCAATCACTTGTGTAAGGATATATTAGAAATGACAGAGGGCTGATGCAGAGTCTAATTTGCATCATGACATCATGATACAAATGGCACAAATACATACAAATGATGGAATTTGCATTGTTTATTTTATCATGTAGACTTACTCTTCAACTCCCCCCGCCCCCAAATGGGGAAAAATGTGTCCTCTCCCTCCTCATTAGTTCATTAAAGTGAGGATCTTTGGAGGTGTTACAATAAAGTGCTATTGATATTGTGCTTTAATCCATTCTAGACAATGAACAAATATGGGCTCCCCACCCTCTATTATTCACCCTGTAGAGTATTTATATGCAGGACCTGACTCAAGAATCTATAGTGCTTGTGCAGAAGAAATAGGAGGTGATATATGCATTTAAAAGCTGAACAGGATTTTCTCCTTGGTTATTTATTAACTCTGAATCAACACACACATGGAAAACAACCAGTAGGCCAAAGCTCCCTTAACCTGTGATCAGTGACCAGAGTGTGGACCTGCAAATGCCAAATACTCAAGGCTCTACCCCTGCTTTTTAGAACAAAATGATCCAGTCCAGAACCTTCACTGATGACTTCTCTGCTTTCTTTTAATACGCCTGCATCCAAGTTGGCCTCTCTTTCCCCTTTTTCCGATAAACATGATTCAGCATTGTAAAACTCTGCCCATGTACAAATTAATCAATATTGAAACAGCTTTGTGTTAGTCATAGTACTCCACCTGTCTTCATAGACTCTTTTAATTAAAAAGACACATGAATTTAAAGAATCAGTTTTTAAAATTTTCAATTACTATACAAAGGTGTCTTTGGGCCCACCAGAAGTTCTACCAGAAACATTTGGGGGAGGGGTGCCAAAAAAAAAAAAAAAGGTAAGATGGCTGTCGCAGTAGTGCAATTTAAGCCTGTCCCTTTATATCTTGCTTGCAACATCAAAACACGTACAACATGGGGAGGGCTGCGATCACGCTGCTGAGTCTGCCATCTTGGTTTTTCTAACCTTCCCAGTAGATGCTGCTATTTTCTGACAAAAGTAAGATGGTGAAAGGCTGCAGCCTACTGCTTTATATGAAAGTCTACCTATCTGTTTGGAAATAAATAAAAACAAGCTGAGAGGTTGGGAACAGCTGGACAGGAAGTGAGCAGGAGCAGCCTATTCTATTTGCCTTCTTGTGAATGGGCATTTTATGAGTGAATAATCCACAGCGGCACCTATTTGGTGTGAGTGTTTCTAACAGGCTCTCAAACTTCAAAATGTGCTCATTGATTTCAAACAAACTGGAGAAATGTGTGTGCTTATTTGTGGTTTAGTATCCTGTGTACCTCATCAAGTTTGGTTTATTCAACCAATTGTGGTTGCCTTGTTGTATGTGATAGTGTATTCTGCAACACAGACTATTATATTTAGGGCAGCAGAGTTAACCTTGTTACCCCTTGGAAACATTTTCATTTGATAAGCTATAAGTGTTAGGTACATGTGTGTTGGACCATTCACTCAATGAGAAAGGAGCACCTTATCTGTGCTCTCAGGGTAAATGGCCAACTTCATACATCAAGTGCTTTGTTTGGTTTCGAGTTGCTGTGGTGCACAATTCTGGCCATTATGGTTTGAAAGAGCCACTTCGGTCTAGTCATATCAATTCAGGAGGTGGTCCCTTTTAACTTTTTGGGAATCTTACTTTTCTGGTCTAGTGTTCTGATCTCTGTGGTTGATAGAGGAAGAATAGCCAATTAGGTTTTGCTTGCTTTTTTATTCAATTAATATTTATATACCAATTCCTGTTCCTGTAAATCTCATAGTGGATTTTGTGCTTTCAAGTAACTAGATCCAAAAGGGGTTGATTGTGATATCATCAAGCATCCTAATTCCTTACAGTTTCAACCTTATCACACCCTTCCTCTTGTAGTGCAGTTAATCTACTTAAGCTGTGGGAAGAATGTGACTGTTTTTATTTATCTTCAGGGAGAGGACACTGAATTTGCAAATGTTCACAATTCTCATTCGTGCATATCACTTATGACTAGTTGATTTGGTCAAAGCTAGGAAGTAGGACACCAGAGTGACAGTTTTCTACCCCTTTCTATGCTTTTGGTAGGACCTGTTTGTCATCATTTTTCCAACCTCACGCCCTCTAGGTAGATAGAGACTACACGTTTCAAACAGTTCTAGTTAGCATTCAGATCTTGAAACAGAGGCCTCATAGTAAAAGTGAATTATAGACATCTATTCCATTTTCAGGGGATGACAATTCTTTCTTGCTGTGATGGATCTTCATTGTGTGAAACTAAAATATTTTGGCTTTCCTAAGAAACTGTGAGCTTCTTCTGATTGGCTGGGACTTTCCTATTCCTTATGTATTTATTTTTATTTATTTTATTTTGTCAAGTGATTATTAGATAACAGGTATAAGTATAAACATGGTTATGAATATATGAAATGGATACAAATAAGAAAAAAAGAAACAATAGGACAGGGACGGTAGGTGAGCTTATGCACGCCCCCTACAGACCTCTTGGGAAAGGGGTGAGGTCAATAGTAGACAGTCTAAGGTTAAAGTTTTTCGGGTTTGGGGAAGAAACCACAGAGTCAGGTAGAGTATTCCAGACATTGACCACTCTGTTGCTGAAGTCGTATTTCCTGCAATCAAGTTTGGTGCGGTTTACCTTGAGTTTGTATCTATTGTGTGCTCTTGTATTGTTGTGGTTGAAGCTAAAGTATTCATTGACAGCTAAATGTAAATTAGGTAAATTAGGGTAAATGTTTAGAAGTTAGGAAGAGGGAAGAGGTAATAATAGCTTGTAAGTGGGAAGAGGAGGAAGAACAACAGGTACAGGATAGGCTACCTGGCTGGACAGTAGTGCCTGTGAAAGGGATCTAGGTTTGCTAGTGGACCACCACTTAAGTCTGACTTCCTGTCTCAGGAACTTCTCTGGAGTTTTTTTTTCCTCCTTTTGCTTGTATGGCGTGACCATTCAAAGTTACAATGGCACTGAAAAAAGTGACTTATGACCGTTTTTCACACTTACAACTGTTGCAGCATCCCCACAGTCATGAGAGGTCAGGCAAGGAGATGCGTACCTTGATGTGAATGATATTGAGTTGGCCATGTCCAGCCAATAACATGACCACCTAAGCCACGTTCACCCAGTCACATGACCACCAAGCCACACCCACCAACTAAGCCACGCCCACAGAACCAGTTGTTAAAAAATTTGAATCCCACCCCTGGCTAAATTGTATAATAAACGGCGAAGGGAACTACCATAGGTATGTTTAGCCTATGAAAGGAAGGCTTCAGGGAAACCTGATACTTAATGGGCTGTCCATAGGGAAGAGGGATTGATTTATTCTCCATAGCATCTCGAGTAGGAGAAGAAGCAATGGGTGGAAGCTCATCAAATGGAGATCCAACCTGGAAATAAGGAGGAATTTCTGGGCGGTGCAAACAATTAATGAGCAGAAGAAGCTTGTGCTGGAGGTTTTCAAGGAACAACTTGACAATCATTTGTCCAAGATGGTATAAGACAGGGGTGTCAAACTCAGGTGCCATAGTGTCATGTGACGTATCGGGACTTTTTCCCTCTTTGCTGAACCGGGCGTGGGCATGGCCAACATGTGACGTATCCAGCCTGTGGGACGCAAATTTGACAGCCCTGGTGTAAGAACTCCTGTCTTGGGTAGGGGGTTAGACTAGACGACCTCCAAGGTCCCTTCCAGCCCTACAATTCTAGGAACAATGGTGAATATAAAATGTTCGAGTTTGTACATCACACAATTGAAATTTCTCTTTGGATATTAGCCAGCATTACTATCCTTCTGAGGAATTCACAGGTAGATGCCTATCTCTAATGATAATAGTTCCGAGAAGGAAGCAAAAAATGAATTTGGAAGAACATGCCATACAATATAGTTGGTTGATGTTGCTCTTATTGAATATCTTATCAATTTGGATTAGTGGCAATCTGTTTTAAGAAAAACTCTTTATGGATTAGCTCCGTTTCTTACCTATTTTTGTTTTATGTGTCTCTGTTCCTCTGCCCTGGAAACATTGCAAGAGTCCTTGAGGAATCTTAAGGACAACAGTCTCTGTTTGTCAGCTGTTTTGGTTCCAATACAAAATGTATCTGAGATTGATCCAGGCAATTTTGACTGTAGATTTATTCCCAGTCTTCCATTCCTTAAAACTCCTGCTGCCAATTAAAATAGCCCAGGTAAAGTGAACAGGGGCAAAATTGAGTTTGAACTGCCTGCTATCTTTTTCCCCCACGACTTTTCCCCATTGCCTTGAAATGGAAGCTCTGCATCAACAGAAACTACAGGGACATAATAAGATTTTACTCAATAGCAAGTCCTTGGCCATGGTGCCCTTGGATCACCTAAGAACTTATTCCATCTCAAAACTGGGACAGCACCTTTGTCTAATGACTCCCTTTTTAAGATTGACTCTAATGTCGAATCATCCTCTCTTGTCCCTGAAGAATTTTTCAAATAATAATGCAGGAAGAGATAATATCTTAGCACCTTCATAAAAATCTAATTCATATGTTTTTGTCTTCAGCCTGATGCAGGGTAAATATATACCCGTCAAGACTGATATTTTGATCAATTTAAAAGAATAGAGCCCCGTAGGAGCTTTGATTGTCCTGGAGCACCTTATTTGCTCCATTCCTGATATTTATTAGTGCCGTGCTCTGGTGGACATGGTTGATCAAAGCAGAAAGTGATGATATATGGATGACTTTGCTTTTTACTGTGGAGACTTATTATAGAAGAAGCACTGAATTATGGCTGGTGGACTTCATGAATGATTTATGAATCCCCTTTCTTTTTTTCTTGCAGTTTGTGCAGGTACCCAAAATGAGCTCAGTGTGACAGGAGATGCCCAGCAACGGTATCAGACACTATATAAAATGTACAACAACTGTGAGATCGTCATGGGCAACCTTGAGATAGTGCTCATTGGACAAAACCAGGATCTTTCTTTCTTGCAGGTAACTAGATGTGGTGGAGGACTTAACACACTTTCTTTTTTTTTTAGCAGGTGTGAAACTAGCGTAGAAAATTATCTGTGGGAAAACCTGGCTTCCTCCATCTACATTCACCAGGCTGAAGTTGTCTACTCCAACTTTCTGTTTCCATTAATGGTTGTATATAGACATGACAAACGATGGTCATGCTCTCACTTGCTCCTGGCAGATTAAAAAAAAAAATCAGATATACATCTCACTTTGTTATATTTTCCAATAATATTCTAATTAATTGGATAGATTGCAGGGAAAAATCAGAAAATGCTTACGTGCCCATTCCATTGTGTCTCATCATTCTTTTCCCTTCCCTAATACCTGAATCATGAGAGACTAGTGATTGTGAATAATTTAAATAATTTATCCAAGGGAAGTGCCAAATGTATTTATCCTAAAGAGCTTTACTCAAAACACATTTAGGATTAATGCCTCATTATATAATGTTTTGAAGTCAGTGTCAACAATTTCAGTAAAGTAATATTTTTTGATAGGTAACCCCAGATATGGGAAGGAAGACTAGTTTGATTAAAAAGAAAAAAAAAGAGGGATTTATTTGGTTGAGAAAAGCATAAAATACATTGGTAGTAGTTGGCTAAAATTGTCTCTGTTGGGATAATTTATTTTCATTTCGTGATTGAGGCAGTGGAGATTTGGATTGTGACATACCCATCTCTAAATGGCTATATGGTAACATTAATGTAGACCGAACTTGCCTGTGGAATGTGGGCTCCATGGCATCACGAGTAGAAAACAACAATTGGAACAAAATGATCAAAGTTAACTCTCTGTCCTTCCAATGGCACAATAATCTGTCAATTATTAACCCAATGGGTGTTTTTAAAAATCTCAGAGGTTCTTTCCTTGCCCATTTGCTCTCCTACGATTATCTGAGGTTTCTGAAAAATATTTTCTGAAGCTAGCCAACTCCTGACTCCAATACTGGTACATAGTTAACTAAAGAGCTGACCAAGTGGTGATGATCGCCATGCAACATGGCAGATGGTTGAAAGAGAATTGGTTACATATGTGGCTGATAGGCTGGTTATTGCATCAGTCATAGCAACCAAGTCAAGCCCTAATTATTCACACATTATGTATATCTTGGTATGTTCAGAATTTTCTGGATTTATTTATTTTACTTCAGATATTGTATTTTTCAAGAAGATAAAGACTTTTAAGTTTTACTTATTTCTTGGTGACTTCATGGACCCATCCATACACACACACACACACACACACGGGATATGCATGAGTAAAATGCATCTCTTTACATCCACATTTTTGGGTGAAGACTGAAATTTAATAATGTTTTTTCAATCCCAAACAAAATCAAATACTAATAAAATAAGAGAGGGGTAATGGTGGATTGTGGCAGGATTGATATAAAAAGTCTGAAAATTATTTCCCTAAATGAACTGGGAATATAAATGTAAGAAATTGTAACAAGACTTAACTAGCAATGAGAAATTCAATACTAATTTTTATGAAAATAGAATGTAGAATATAGAGTAGAATATTCTTTATTGGCCAAATGTGATTGGACACACAAGGAATTTGTCTCCATACCGAAGCTCTCAGTGTACATACAAAATAATAATAATAATAATAATAATAATAATAATAATAATAATAATAA